TTCACTGACCAGGCTGTTTCTCCTTACAGCAAGCAGAGCTCACCCTCAGAATTTGCCTAGAGGGGCTGGAGCGATAGCACAGCTGGTAGGCGTTTGTCTTGCACGCGACCGACCAAGGTTCGATTCCCAGCATCCCATATGGTCCCCCGAGCACCGCTGGGAGTGATTCCTGAGTGCAGAGCCAGGAGTCAGCCCTGTGCATCGCCAGGTGTGACCCAAAAAGCAAAAAAAAAAAAAAAAAAAAAAAAAAAGAATTTTCCTAGAGTTGAGAACTGACAGTTCAGATATGTTTTTCTTTAAAAAAAAAAGAAAAACATAAACAGTCCTCAACAGCCCCGTTCTCTTGTTCTCCTCATCAACAACTCTTCAGTAGAAAAAAAAACAAAACATTTGTTTCCAAGATGCTTATTTTTAAAAGTAAATTTATAGTAAATGGAGGGAGATTAATAAAGGGCTATTTTTCCCCCGGCTTGTGGTTTCTAATTACATCAGTTACAGCTTAGCCTTCCTCTTAACTGGAGTGCAGGCGTGAACTGGAAAAGAATGAGCTAATCCATGATAGATCAGGTTGAATAAAGATCTCCATTCATATCTTTACCTTTTATCCCTTGTTCTGAGTGCCAAGAATTAATGCTGTTTGAAAGTACAAACTGAACCTGCCAAGCCTCGGACAGCTAAGATAATCCTAATTATTTTCAATGTTAGTGAGAGGGCAGCAGTCCCACTCTGGAAAAGCGTTCTATTGTGAAACATTAAATATCTGCTAAGTGGTATTGATTGGACGTGATTTTATTTCCAAACACCATGGTTATCACGAAGCGGAAGAATTTGTTGTTTGAGGCTTTTCACCAGCTTTTCATCAGATTCTAGCGCCTGCAAACTCGAGGAAACCAGGGCCCAGCAATTTCGTTGTTGTTTTTTTTTTTTTTCTTGGCCTCTCAGTGAAGAATTGCTAACAACTGAAGAATGAATGCCACTTGGACTTTTCATTTTTAGACGGTTCCTTAGTGGGAGCCTTAATGGCATTTAACATATAGAGGAAGAACTTTTTTATTTTTCCTCAAGCATGAATATCCTGTTTTCTCACATCACTGGAAGAGAATTATTCGTTCCAGTCCATTGACTTCCAACAGATCATTCAAGTTAAAAGTCAGGGGTCTTTGCAATGTCATAGATTTTAACAGCTCCAGTGTTTTTTTTTTTTTCAGTGAGTTGGTTGGTTGTTTCGGCTGCGTGTCCTCCCATTTTCCAAAGAGAACGGTGACAATTAGAATTTTTGAGGTAGCCATAGTGGAAAGCTTCTGTGTCCCTCCCCCGTACCTTTGATAAGAATGATTGTGCCTACGGGTTTTTGGTTGTTTTTTAAACAGTAATAAAAGTGAGGGCCAGTTAGCTCTCTTAGACAGCTAGGCTGCTTGAGAGAAAACAGATACTGGGCTTGCTGGTTCAGGCAAGGGTCAGCCTTGAGGGCTTATCCACCTTTCCTTTGCAACCAGAAAAGGGTTAGGTGGGCAAGTTTCCCACCCTTTTTCTTACTTTTCAGCCTCTGGTCTCCAGAAGTCATTCCTTCCATTTCTGCAAAGGCTGGGCGTGGACAGCTGCTGACAGGGTAGCGTCACCCTGAATTGTATCTTGCCTGTGGATGTGTCCTGCCCACCAAGCCTAGCACAGCTGCCCCCGTCCTCACCTCCATCCCTAGCAGGGCGGCAGAGCCCAGACATCTTCACGAATGCAAATAGTGTTGTGTTGAGCATCTCTGGGCCAATTACTCTTCCTTTCTGTGGGCTTATTCCCCGGAGTGGAATTACCAGGTCAGAGGGTATGAACAGTTTTTACAGTTCTTATTACATGTCACTAGATTGCTGTCCAGAGAGATTGAACCAATTTCTAGGGCTACCAGCAGCATATCTTTCTCTCCGTTCCCATTGACATTTGGGTATTAGCATTTTTACAAAACAATTATTATGAACCTTTGGAACTGAAATTAGCCTTGTGCAGGACTCATTAGAATCAACTTCAAAAGAAGAGTAATTTTGACTTTGGAATTTTTTTGGGGGGGGCATAGATTTTACATGTTTTTGCAATCACACTATTTTTTTTTTGGTAGGAGTACTGCTATTTATTCAGCCACTGATTAGCTGATTGAATTGGGCATGAACTCCACAACTTTGGAATTTTTAATTGGTATAAAATTGTTTATGATGATCAGTTATTACTCATCTTTAAACAGAATTTACTAACTGTTACAGTGGAGAAGGTACCCTTCACGATGATAGTAAAATAGATTTGGACATTAGCCTCTGAGATAAACACTTGAAACTATGTTGATAAGATGAGGAAACACAAAATGAGGGAACAATACCATCTCTGACATCAAAAGCTAAAAAAAAGGTACTAAATGGCAAAAATAAATGTAAAATTTAGAATTTGAGTGATATCTGTGCCATTCAAAATCAGTATTTACATTTGGCCAGGGTACCGATAGAGTGCCCTCTCCTTGTATTTTAAAATTCACATTTGAGTCGTTTTCTTTACTGCTGTGCTGTCATGAGTTAAGTATGCACAGAGTTCGATCTGTGTGAGTAACTGTTTTCTTGTGGTCCCAAGTCACAGGAACCCTTAATCGAGGAAGATCCTCTGGAGGCAGGTGAGAGCAGGAGGTGCTATCCTCAGATTCCTTCCTTTTGCAGACTTCTGGCCCTTCCTTCCTGGGGCCCACCTTGAAAGGGGAGTGGAGTGCGTTCTGGATTAGCAGCTCGGTGGAGTCAGAAGGAAGGCCCCGGGTGTCAGGAGGACATCCATCTGTTCCTTTCTAGGCTTCCATTGCTTTCTTTAAATCAGAGATTAGGCGGGTCTGAGGCCAGTGACTGCAGCGTGGCACCTTGTAAGGGTGAGATGGTGCAGGGGGTAAGAGCAGATCAGAGGGTTGGACTGACCAAGCCTGCACAGCTCGTGGCAGCTTCCACAGTGGGAAGACTAATCTCTGAATGAATGGTTTGAGGATTAACAACTTCATTAAAGTGAGAGGCATACAGGAACCAGTGAGTGTTCACGCTCTTCCTCCTGGTGTATACACAGAGGGACTCTCATTGGTTTGAGCTGGGAACTCTTGGTCGGGACAGATTAATTAGATGCTGCTCTGGTTGGCTTTCCATGGATTCTTCAGATCTCTGTCTATTAACCAGTGTCAGAAAACCCAATCGCTTTTGGAAAACATTTTTGTGTGTATGTACAGCATGTTTTTGTACACGACTCTAGTCATGTTGGGCTTTCCAGAGTTATAAGATTCAGTTCGAATTCAGTGAGAAGCTATTATAAAAGCGGCAGTACAATGAATGTTTTAGAGTTTTTAGGTTTTCTGAGTTTGGGGATTTGCATATTATGTCTGTGTGCATGCTTTGGGTGGATCTATAGAGTACCCTCTTTTATTTAAAAAAAAAAAAGAAAAGAAAAAGCTTACAGGGTATTCCTTTGCAGTTCCTAAGATTAAACAGCTTTCACCAATATCAAAAGTTACCGCCTGTCAGAAAATTGCTTAAATTGCTTTTTCAGTTTATTCACTACTAAGTTTTCAGATCATGCCTTTCCTTGTTGAATTTTTGTGGTAGCCATAGAAAGCTGTCCATATGTCTGTCTGCTGGTCCATATGTCGCATTTCAGAGGGGCCTTCTGAAATAATTTGGTCCCGTAGAGTGGCTCAAGGTCTGTTTCTTAAATCTCAGCTCTGTCTTTTATTTCTGTGTGGTTCCACGAGCTGCCGCAAACCTTTCCAAACCCATAACAAGGGTAAATAGTGTTCTCTTGTAAAAAGGTCTCTTTTCAGTGTGGTGTAATATTACCTTATTAAATTCCAGACATAATAAGTATTGATGGCAAACACATCAGGAACCAGTACAGCTTCTACTATGATTTAGTTCTCTACAAATGACTCCGCTCCCAATGCGTTTTGCTAATTACATCATAGATTTCCCTATTGATGAACACAAGCTGAATTAACACAGGAGCACTAATGTACCCTTTCACCATTATTGTTGTACAAGAAGCCGTGGCAGATGCTGGCAGTTAGTTACACAAACATTAGTATTAACGATTGGCCATTTGGAATTGGTGACAAACTACTGCCCGGCAGAATCCTGAGGCTGAAACCAATCAGGAAGTTAATGAGGAGAGAAATTACCACGGCAGCTTCCCCTTAATTACATTCACTCTAGGCAGGAAGGGAGTTCTGGGGGGTGGAT